TGCTGAAATGCGTTAAAATGTATCTACGTTAAAAGACTCGACTTTTAAATAAGTAGATGCATTCTCATTGCAGAAAAGTTGTCTCTTCATAGGTAAATTTTATACTTTTACTCATCTCAAAGGCATTACTGTGACCGGTCTATCGCCTCATGCTTTGGTAGAAGGTATGACGTCTAAAAGCTGTGATTCTGTTTTGGTTACTTATATTTAAAAGTGTCACAAAATCTCCTCCTGAAAGCGCTAAAATTATATACGCTCTGTGCGGAAAATTGATAAGGGATTTTGGAGATAGATGCTTAATCAGCTGAGAAAGACAAAGAATAAAAAAAATTGACCAATTACAGAAATAGTCGGGCAGTAGTTTTCTAAATCACTTGTTTCATTAAGGAACAGGAACCGTGTAAGAAATAGTCAAAATCTTCAGATGTTAAGTTGCTTTTGACTTCTGGAACTGTTAACAAAAAAGTAGCGCAAAGAATTGGTAAAGCTGGTACTAGCAAGTTCACTTTTTTACAACAAATCTACTCGCACCTACTTGCATCGTACCAAAGTTGTTTTTACACTATCTGAACTCTAACTTTCTTTTTTTACTTTTTTATTTTTTTGGAGAACATAATCTGTTTCCTGCAATTTGAAAATTCCGAAATATACCAAATACAGATGTAAGCAGTGACGCATAGTCGGAATGCTGACCTTTCCAGATAACAGTAGCTTCTCAAACAATTATAAAGCGTATGTTAACTAAGCTAACTTTTTCAGATAGACTGAAATGCAGCAAACAAAAAAATCAATTTTTTATGTAACAGAACCGTATTTAGCAAACGAAAATTTTTTGCAGTTTTAGATGTTTCAACATAAACATCGAAATGAACAAGTTGGTAAACCGTAATAAACTTTGCTGAAATAGATACACTACACTAATCATCGAAATTCTGCAAGTGAGCCTCAGGAAGTAGCCTACCGTTATAGCATTTTTAAAAATTAGCAGGAATAACTTTGAAACTTCCGCGTTAATAGAAATATCGAAAAAATAGATTATCAGAAAACGACTTAGAATGCAGAATAAACATGAAATATAACCAGGTAGATGAGTTTTATTCTCACTTCAAGCAAAAATTTTAATCTGACCAATTTTTCATCAAAGAAGTTTAAAATAAATAATCTGTAACTAAATTGTAATGTTTCCTTAACAATTCGTCTTTATCGTTATCCCTTCACCATTTTCCTCCGTAGGCTAATGCTGATTATTTTCGCAGTCCTTTAATAATGTTATTAAGCGAATCTCCTTGAACCAAATAGAAGTTCATCAATCATTATATTCACTGTACTTTTATAATCACTCTTTTAAAAAGACTTTTACTGAGCATATACTAATAAAATTGAATGCATAAGCAGAGAACACCGACTCCATGTTGATGTTAAAATATACCGCTGAAAACTGTTTGATCTCTTGAACAGACCACCACAGAGATTTCTTAAAATTATTGTTTCGATTTACTCCATCCTCCTGTTATTCGGTTTTGCACCATTCAGTGCCTACATTTAGAAAGCGGCCAACTTTCCCGTTTATTACAGGAAGTTAAACTTTCTTCTGAAAAACATTATGTGAAGATTTTGGCTATAGCTCAAAAGTTAATTGCATGTTGGTGATTACAGCTCAAATACAGGCGCCTGTTCAAGAAAAAATAATGAATTTCGAAGTATCTCTACACTTAGGAAGTTATCAAACTTACTTTGATTAAGAGTCAAAAGCTTAACAGTAAGGATGGATTTGCTGAGAAGTAGAAAAGAAATTTTTTTAGATGTTTGACATATTCTGCTAAATGACTAATACCTATCTTTATTTACTATTAATGCTTTTGCCAATCCCTACAATTTTTTCAAAAAGACAATTTTTTTTTACCAGTAACACATGCTATTCTTCCAGTTCCTCATCTGGTGGTAACAGTATCAGTGGCAGTAAAAAACTTTGAAAAATGAAGGGATAACATAGAGGAAAAAATCAAAGTACGGCTATACGAAGCAAACAGAACGGCAGCCAAAGCACTGAGAATTGGACGAAGATCTCTGACAACAGAAAAGAGCATTTGAATGTTTTTTCATGTGATAACATGCATTTCCTCTAACGATGTTCTTCTGACGCCATGTGTATATTGTTGACTAAGCATACGTGATTCAAAGCGAAATTTTGGTTCACTGATATCTTTCTTCGACCAAAATTGTTCTTACAATTTATTCGTTTTTTTTTTGTGTAACCAAATCTTGATGTTTGTTTTTTGAACTTTTACACTGTATACTGTTATTCCTATCTAACTGTTTAATGTGTTCTCGTTTAG